CCAACCTAACACCATTGCATATAAGTTCCCGCCTAGTCTCCACTTAATAACACCCCATGGTTATTTTCCACGATAGCAATATATAGCCAACAGTGCTCCAGTATCCACCTATATATCGTAGGTGACAGGAAATCACCTGACTTCTATCGGTCTAAGCATGGCTAAGCATATATTCGATCCTATACCTACATAGGGTTCAAGGTATATTTTTGGACAAGGTAGTTCTATGCACCAAGTGTTTCCAACCAACTCTTATAACCTAATGCATCAAACATAAAGGAGTCAAGTGATATTTGTAAAAACATAGGATGCTTAGAATGCTCCGAGGCTTGCCTTTTAGAAAGGAGGTAGGCCTATGATTAGGGCACTCCGATAATTCCTCAGGAGCCTGCTCCTTGTTTTTGGGGGCTACCTGCTATGGTGCCTCCTGATTCTCCTCCTCTACCTCAAACTCCAAGAGTGTGATTCCTACTGGCGATCCTATATACATGAGTGCAAAATAAGATACTAGAATGCATAGGTAATGATATGGATGATATGATATGATGCATAAACATAAATGTCCTTAACAACAAGGTATTAGGGTGATAACAAGATTAACTTTCTTTTACTGAGTAGGTGCATATCTCCTCTCTAGTAATTAAACAAACACCTATTTAAATATTTTCTGGACTACAAGACAATAGCCACTTGTTTTGACCATAACTGGAGTCATATATATCCAAACAATATGATCTTGGACTTTATGGAAAGCTTATAAAATTCTCTATAACTTTATTTTAATAATATTAAGGTGATTATATAGCTATCTAGGTCAAACAATTCAATATTTTAGATCTATCTAGAGGACAAACAAATCTGACAGCAGAATTCTAACAGCTATAACTCTTAAACCATTAGGCCTATGACCATGAAATTTTAGGAAAAGCAATATAAGTAAGTTACCTACAACTTTGTTATTAACAAGTTTCACAGAAAAGATCATTATCATCATGAATTTGTCAACACAACAGAAACTACTCATGCAACCATCTAGTTGAATTATAAAACAATAATTAACTAGATGCCTATAACCAATTAATTCCAAGCACAACTACTAATAGCAACACATTATATGCATCACAATCACCCTAGAAAACATCATGGTAAAACCCCAATAATTTACTTATGTGCATTTATTAATTTCCTTATATAATAGGGTGATTTAAAGGATAAATATTTTCAATGCTCAATAAATTCTAAGAAAATTACAGTAGGTTACATATGACCCCAATAGTCTACTATACAAATTTCATGCCATTTGTATAAGTATAGCAACCTCTACAAAAATAACAAGTTGCATAGGCTTATTTTAGCAAAAATAGTTTAGCCTAGTGAAAAGTGTCAAACAATAGATTTCATATTTTTCTTACTTTCATCCTAGCATAAGAACACTACGTAAAAATTTGCATGATCATATGTTATATATTTTTACCCCATTTATTTTCACTAGAAACTAGCAAATAATCAAGGTTAAATAGAAAAGACCATATTTCAAGTATGTCTTCTATAGGTTTAGTATTTTTACTAGTTATATCATGCCAACACAAGACCAGGAAAATTGGAATCATAATTTTTGTACTTCTCTAGCTCAAGTTATGCATTTTACAAGATTGAAACAAATTTAAAAGCACTTATCTAGCTCAATTTAATTCTCCCAGAAAATATCCCAAACAGTAGGTTTCATATTTTTATGAAATAGTACACTTCATGATGAATCTAACAAAATTTGGTTCAACCAAATTGGACACTCCTAACTCAAGATATAAATTTTTGAAGTTTATATTCAAATCTATGAAAATAAATAAAGAAAATAAAATTTCAAATCAGACCCAGCAGCTAGGTGCACCTGGTCCAGTGCACCTAGAGGCGTCGACAGCTGGGCCCCGTGGTCAATGGGTCCCACACGTCAGCAACACAGGAGTAGAGCGCGATGTTTGACCGACTATATCTCATCGGCGACGAGGTCACCAGCGGTGAGGTCTTCACCACTAAACTTGCCTCGTCAAGCCGCATCAAGGGGTACCCTTAGTTGGCTCGATGCATCATCGGAGCAACCTCACCAACGAGCATAGCGCCTCGGTAGCGGTGCGCGGTGGTGGACTCACCGTCTCTGGTGATGGCACGGGCAGGCGAGCGTGGCTACAGCTTCTACAGACCTTAGCGGAGCTTTATGGTGTGGATCGAGCCACAGTGAAGCGACGGTGAGCTCTGGCCATGTGCATGGCGACACGGCGGCGCACAACGTACGTGACGGCGCTTACCGTTCCGACGAGATGGTGGTTGGTGATGGGTCTCCGTCATATGAGAAGGTGCTATGGGTCACGGCGGTACAGAAACAAACACATGAGGGGAAAGACGAGATCTAGCGAGGGTCGGCCGCGGCAAGCTTGAGCTCACGGCCATGGCGGGCGCGCTCGGTGCGGTGGCGCGTTCCCACACGGTGGCGGTGGTAGCGGTTAAAAAAACAACGACGTCAGCATTTATGACCTAAGGCGATGACGGACCAAGGGAGAAGAAGGTAGGAGGAGCAGTGGATAAGGCTGGCCACGGTGAGCTCGGCGGTGCTCCGCGGCCATGGCGGCGACGACGATGCATAATGCGGTTTTACCTCGGCTCGGATGGTGGCACTAGTGAGTTGGGAAGGTGGAGCGGCTCACGGCGAAGCTGTGGGTGAGGTGGATTGGGTGGTGGTGCTGCTTAGGCGACGAGCGAGCACGGCGGTGGTGCAGCGGTGGCAACGGTGGCGCGGCTCAGCTCTTGCGGGGGCAAGAGCGAGAGAGGCAGGGCGAGAGAGTGGGAATAGGAGAGAGAGCAGCAGCGTCGCCTCCCTCTTCTCCCTCTGCTGTCCAGATTGACTGGGCCGACACCACGCGAATGGCCGCCATGTGGCGTGAGTAGCCTGGCAGCGGTTGGCCACGACGTGCTCGGCCGGCCGATTCAAATCGGCCGTCAAGCTAACTGATAGTGCAACTTTGCACCTCTATATCTCCTAATCCAGTTCGAGTTAGTGAAAAGTCTATTAATAGAAATTGTAGAGCTATATGAGATCTCCAACTTTACTTTAGGGAGTAACATCTAATTCATCATGGTTTTCAAAATGCAAAGCTCCAAAGTAGGTCACATTGAAACTAAAATCAGGTTTAGACTTAGAAATTTTTTTGAGTCTCAAAACAACATTTTGTTGATTCTTGTGGGCCCTATTTGACTACGTTAGGCACTGAATTAGCTCATGATCCTTAAATAAAGTTTGTTTCACATAAGATAAGTTACAACTTTTATTAAGGGTGCACTACCATGCAAAAACTCTAAGCTACTGTTCAATTTTGGTTAAACTAGCATCATGAAAAATGACATTTCGAGTAAACTATGACTTAGAAGCAAAATTTGCTCATGTCATGAATATAAATATTGTTCCATTTATAATCCTAGATATGTCTAAGGTGTTTTTTGACCTCACAACCATCTCTTGCATTGGTCACACATGATCACTAGCATATGCATGTATATAATCAACATCACATGCGATAATATGTAAAGAATAAGATGAAATTTCATATGCTCATACTCATAAATGCTTGGATGATGCTTATACTTATAAAATACAAGTGCCAAATGCATGCTTAACACTAGGATGTTACACCGTTGTAGTTGAAAGTTGAAGACATAGTAGCCCTAGATGACAGGTGAAGCCCCTACAACCTACTCACTTCTAGAAGTAAGACTTTATTAAAGGGTAGGACTAGCGATATCCTTTATGAGCAGAGCTGTGGACCAGCACAACCGCAGCGTCAATGTACCACTGGAGCTCACTATGTTTCGTGCGGGCTAAAGTTTAGGCCTGTCACATTAAATGTTTGATACGAATTAGGAGTATTAAACATAGACTAATTATAAAACTAAAATTTTTAGTACGAATTAGGAATATTAAACGTAGACTAATTATAAAACTAATTACACAGATGGAGGTTAATTTGGGAGACGAATCTATTAAGTCTAATTAGTTCATTATTTGAGAATATGGTGTTACAATAAACATTTGCTAATGATAGATTAATTAGACTTAATAGATTCACCTCGTAAATTAACCTAGAGCTTCTGAAATTAGTTTTATGATTAACTCATGTTTAATCCTTTTAGTTAGTCTCCGAACATTTAGGCTCGGAGAGATCTATTTGTCCTAGCTATCTAGGGTCATATAAGTTTAGACGGAAGAAACTCTCGACTAGTAATAGTTAGGGAGAGGTGGACGAAAAAAATGGATAGACAAAAAATGGCCAAAATTTTTATCTCTTTATTATTAGATATAGAAAACAAAACCACCTTCAAAGCTACTTCTAATCGGAATAAGAATTAATAATTTTTAAACGATTATAGAAAATGGAGACAAGATAGTCTAGTTCACAAGACAAAAAACAACTTTTTTCGGACTTCCTATTTCAGGCGGTGGGCGGCTGCTGGGCATGCGGCCCAGCCCATCCAAGGCCTCGTCGGCCTTGCTCCACACCCCTTGGGCCCACCTACAGCAGAAGGAATTCCGCTCCCGCGCCGCTCCAGTTTTCCTTTTCATTTCCCTCCCCCGCCTCCGCAGACTGCACACTCCATTTCCAATTTCCCCTTTCTCCCTCGTCTCCGTCGCCGCGGAGGCTCCGCCTGTGCGCCGCGGCCAGGAATCATGCCGAGGAAGTGGCAGGTCTGGGGCCGGCCCGACGGCAGCATCGTCTGGGTCCCCGTCTCCGACGCGCCCCGAAACCCGCCTCCGCCGGGTCCGTTTCGTCCCGCTCCTCATCATCCGCCGCCGCCCGACGATGCGCCAGTCGGAGGTTCGATCTCCATCAACGTGTATACCCCTGCATTTGCGTTCATCTCAATCATGGATGGGTTGTTAATTCCTGACCTCCTTTCCTCCGCTGTCAGAAACCCTAGGCCCGGACACCGCCGACGGACGCCGCATCCCCTCCATGGCCGACCTACTCCTCCAAGGTAGACACCTCCTCCCCATGTACCCGCGTGTGGCCTTGTGGCTGTGCTCGTTGCTACTGCGTCTCTCAGTCTCTCTGTGTGTTTGTCTGCCGCTTGCGTCAGTGGTGTGGTGTCTAACTGGCCGCTGGCTGCCTGTTTTCGTTGATGGTACCCACAGCCCGGGACAAGCTGATTGAAGGCGATGGGATGAATGGAGTGACTCAGGGTGTCAATACGGCTGGACTGTTCTCCACCGGGTCTGGGAGATCACTGGCTGTCAGCCAGAGAGCCGTAAGGAGGGCCAGGGAGTTGGTTGGGGAGGAGGTGGACGAGGCTACTAATAACAACTACAAGAAGAGAAGTAAGTCCTTTTGCACTTGATTGTGGTTTGCTTGAATTGCTGTGCATTGTTGGATGTTTGGTAGCTTGGAATCAGCGCTGCTTATTATGTTTATTTGTGGGTTTGTCTATTGCAGAGCAACCATTTGGAGGTGATGCTGGTCTGGAGGGTGAATGGACAAACTTACATGTTCCATTTGGAGGTTAGCCTTGTATCTCCCTTTTCTGTGCTGGCTATTAGATTGGATCTTGCAACTAGAGATAAAGGGTCCAAGTTTTGATAATTTTGGTGGAATTCTGTGTGGTACCATATTGACATACTATAATGTGAAAATTTTAGGTGATGCGCATAATGATAACTTCTTCCCAATGTTCCAAACTGGATCTGGTAAAGCAGTCTTGCTCATCAAGGACTCAATTCAGAAGGCAAGAGCTGTTCTAGAAGGTAGGAAGTGATTTCATATTTCACTCGTGATGACATTTAGTTCTCTCTGTAGGTGTTTTTTTTGGGGTACTAGCCAAACATGTCATTAATTATGAAATATCTTGTTTCTAGAAAATGTTGAGAATGTAGCTGGTGCCAAACAACCAATGTTCCATACCGGTGCGGGTAGATCGGTCCTAGTCAGCAAGAGCTCAATTGATAAGGCGAGAGCTGTTTTAGGGGGTCAAATGATTGCAAATGAAGGTTAATTTCATTCCAGTATTCATAAGTTTTGAGAATTTCGCCGAATGATTCTAGACATGCCTTATTTGTGATCCATGAGCCCTATTACAGGAGATGTAGGAGGTATGGATGTTCCTGTGTCTCAAGCTGGTTCAGGTAGAGCTGTATCAATCAGTATGGCATCTGTACAGAAAGCTAATGATGTGGTAGAAGAAAATAATATAAAAATAGGTAACATTGATTCTTGTACCGTTTAAGTAACTATGAACTTTTTACCTATTTACTTCAGAATGGGCACCTTCTTAGTCTTAGCGTATGATGCAATTCCTCTATTTTAGGAAGTGTGGAAGGTCCAGGTAGACCTAATCAGTCTCTGATATTTCAAACTGGCTCTGGACGACCAGTTTTGATCAGCAAAAGATCCGTCGAGAGATCTAGGGCTCTGCTGATGGATGAAGATGCTGAATTTATTGGTAAGATACTAAGATTAGCCTATGTCTTTGGCTCTTTGCAGTTTTCAAAATTCAATCATGATAATAAGTGTTTACTTTGTGTGAAGGACAACGGGATACTGGCTGCCAGCTCCCAATTTTGCAAACAGGACTTGGAAGGCCTGTTGCTGTGGAACAGAGTTCAAGTAAAAAGGCAAGCACAGTTTTGGAGAATGGAGATATTAAAAGAAGTGGTAAAAACACTCATTCAAGCTTATTATTTACTTATTTATCTATTGCACAAGATTCATCAAATTTATTTCCCTTTGTGAGATTCAGGAAATGGAGATACCAATGTTTGTGCCACACCTTTCCAATTTGAAACCCCAAAATCCGTTTTGATGAGTAGCAGTTTGATTATGAATGACATGACTTCTACACCAGAGGAAAATACTTCAGTGCGAGGTATATATGCCTCTCCTGATTTCACTGTGAAAACTTCTCTTTTGTGCCATCTTGTGTACCATCTGTTCAATTTATTTACAGTACAAAAATGTCACTATCAATACATCCTAGATGTTTCTCACTTGATAATCTTTGTTTTCCAGCAGAAAAATGTTTCAATGATGATGGCCAATTGCCATTGTTTCAGACTGGGTCAGGGAGGTCAGTCACAGTAAGTAAGGGTTCCATTAAAAGGGCAAGTGCTTTTCTGGAGCCAAGGAACATTGCAAAGGAATTGGAAGGTAATAAATCATGCTCAAAGCATCAAATGTTGCCATTTTTTAATTGTTGTTCACGTCTTTCTTTTTCCTGACAAAGTGACAAACACGTTTCTTCTGCTCAGATGAAGCTTATCTCAATGGTGGTTATGCCACCTCAATATTTAAAACTGGAATTGGGAAGTCTATCTTAGCAACTGAGAACTCAAGGGAAAGGGCACAATTTGTCTTAGAGGCTAAAGAGGCTGTAAAACAAGGTAAATTTGTGTTCTAGATTAAGATTTCTGACACTTAGTTTCCACAGTTGGTAAAGATAGCTTTTCTATTGCACTGCTAAATACCGATGTCTCGTGTGCACAGCAGTAATTAGTGATATTGGATCTGGCTTTGGTGAAAATCCAATGTTCCATTCTGGAAAACAACAGTTTTCGCCTGAGAACAATAGTTCAAGACCTAGGGCCAGTACCCCATGGAGCAAGGCAAATTTGCAACAAAAGCTATCCCTTGAAATAGTGGATTACACTATAGGGATTTTATACACTGCTGATTTTAGATTTTTAGTATAGGATTCACAAAATAAATCATACATGATACATGTTTGATTCTTTTATTGAGTTGTAAAATATTATTTACAACATTATTTTTGAAAGGATATGAAGACTGTGGAAGTCCATTGCCAATGTTTCAAACTGGATCTGGAAAATCTGTATTGGTCAGTGAAAGTTCGGTGCAAAAGGCAAGAGCCGTTCTCGAGGAAGAAGGTGATGTAAACACTAAACAGAGCTATTTACTGTATAGCATGCATATGAAACTTTATTCTGTGGATATTTTGCTGATGCAACAACTGATACTTCATAGTCAGTAACCTCCATTCTCTGTTTACTTTATGACTTCGACTTTTCAGGGTCCATGAAAGCTACTTTATTTTCAGTAGCTCTACATAAATCCCTCAAAGTTACTGTTTTTTTTGGCTTGGTCTTCAAAGTTAGATTTTGATCAAGATTTTCTCACAAAATCACTTATTTTTTCCTTGAACGATGCAGGAGAGCTGCATACCGCTATAAAACCTATATATTGTGAAAGCATTTTGAAATGTGAATCATTGTAGCATAGTTATTGTGGCGTCGCCATATCGTCGCCATATCGCCGTGGCAGTTTTGTGGCTCTCGCCACGGCGACGCCACGACTCCGGCGTGTATGGCGTCCGCCATAGCGCTGTGGCGCCCCGTATGCGCCGAGCATCTGGCGTCCCTGTGTCGCCAGAGGTCTTGCTGTGGCGGGCGCCATACACGCCGAGTCTAGGGTACACCAGACACCGGCCCGGAGCAGCAATAGACGAACCGCCCCGCCCGCAATCAGCCCCCACTGAAACGCCCGCCCGCAATCAGCCCGAGCCGCCGCAATCTCCCCGCCCCGCCGCCGCAATCTCCTCGCCCGCCCTCAGCCGGCCCGAGCCCGAGCCCGAGCCGCCGCCGCCTGGAGTCGGCCTCGCCCGCCCTTCGTAGTCCGCCGTCCGTCGGCCTCCCCCGCCCTCCTGATCCGCGGCCTCTGTTCCTCTGTTCCCCCGCCTGGAGCCGCCTCCGATCCGAGCCCGAGCCGCCACCCTCTGTTCCCCCACCCTGCCGCCCGCCGTTCTGGTGAAAAGTGAAGACGTGAAGTGGTGGTGGTGAGTTGAAGTGCCTCACCGCCTCTGTTCCTCTCTCTCTCTCGTTCTCTGTTCTCTCTCGTGCCTCACGCTCTTTTTTTTTGGACAAATATGAACATGGCTACTCAAGGGACTGAAGCGAGAGAGGCCTGGGACGCTGCATCAAATATTGATCCAAAGATCGATCCAAAGCGGAAGCGGCAAAGTCAAATGATCCTTGGTGGAAATATGGATTTTGGCCAACCATTGGCAATAGAGATGTTGTCAAAGTGTTGCTTATGTGATAGAAGAATAATTGGAGGAATTACAAGGCTCAAGGAGCATCTTGTGGGTGGTTATGGAGATGTTCAGAAATGTGTCAAAACCACAACAACTATTGCACGAGAGATGCAAGATGCTATGAAGAAGAAGAAGAGACCACTCGTCCTTGATGATGAAGAAGGAGAGCAGCAACAAGGGAAGATGATGTGATTGTTTTGACAGAGGAGTCCCAAGATGTTGCTAGAAGCATTGTGCATCCTAGTTAGGGGACAAATTGCCAAAAGGAAACAATCCACATTGAAGTTCGGTGCTCAAAAGAGCCAAAGCACCAAGTCAGTTGGTTCAATGCTTCGGAGAACTCCAACAGAGGTTGTGGAAGAAAGACACTCGAAGGGTCCTTCTCAAATCAAGTATTCAAGCTATCATGAGGACAAAGGAAGAAAGAGAAGTCATCAACTTAGAGTGGGCCAGGTTCTTTTATGAGTGTGGCATACCATTCAATGTCAGTAAATTCTAGGCGGTTTGAGATTGCTATAGAGGCCTTTTGCACAAGACGGTTCGGGTATAAGCCTCCTACCTACCATGAGCTTAGGGAGTCATTGCTCCAAAAGGTTGTAAAGGAGACAGATGATTTGAGGAAGAAACATGAGGATGCATGGAAACAATATGGCTGCACATTGATGTCGGATGGATGGACGGATAGGAGGGGGCATCATTTGATCAACTTTCTAGTCAATAGTCCGGAGGGACTTTCTTCTTGGAGTCAGTTGATGCATCAAGTGAAGTTCATGATCGGTGATGTTAGCTGATTTGTTAGAGAAGAAAATCATGGACATTGGAGTAGATAAAGTTGTGCAAGTTGTCACTGATAATGGAGCTAACTATAAAGCAGCGGGCAAGCTTCTCATGGAGAGGTTTCCTACACTTTATTGGACTCCTTGTGCTGCACATTGCTTAGACCTTATGTTGGAAGACGTAGGGAAGTTGAAGGAATTTAAGAAGCCTATCTCACGTGCCTGCATGTCACTACTTTCATCTATAGACATGGAAGACTTCTTAGTGCAATGAGGAGAAGACAAATGGGAGGGATCTTGTGAGACCCTGCACCCACTCGGTTTGCTACCACATTCCTCACCTTGCAGAGTTTGTACAAGCACAAAAGATGCATTAAGATTTCTATTTACCTCCGAGGATTGGACTGGTTGCAAACTAGCAAAGACAGAGGCCGGGGAAAAAGTGTATGATATTGTGCTTTCTAGGGAGTTTTGGAACTCCGTTGAGGATTGCCTTAGAGCTTCTCTACCACTTATCATTGTGTTGAGGGTGGTTGATGGTGATGAGAGGCCTGCCATGCCGGAGGTTCTTTGCTCTCATGAATCATGCAAAAGAGAAGATCAAGGCTAGCTTCTCTCTGAAAACAAGAGAAGCTTGCTCAACAAGATCATACAAATTATTGAGAGCCGTTGGGATAGGCAAATGGATACCCCACTCTATGGCTCTCGCCTCTTTTTGAACCTGGGAAAATTCTATACCATCCAAAAGGAGAATGATGAATATGTTGGTCATCTAAGGGGTTGTTTCAATGATGTGCTTGCACGAATGGTGGAAGATGAGAGCATTCGAAACAAAATTGATCAACAATCCATGCTCTATGAAGATCAACGTGGAGATATCTTCAAGAATTGTATGGCCCTCCAAACCATGAAGTCAAAGAACCCTCGTAAGTGATTTAAAAATTTAATTGCTGCATGTTATTTAAGGCTTAAATCCTAATATATGAATGTGTATTGTTAATTTAGTTGATTGGTGGCGACGTATGGTGGCGATCCATTGACCTACAAAGATTTGCAAAGCGTATTGTTAGTCTTTGTGCTTCATCATCCGTTGTGAGCGTAATTGGAGCACTTTTGAATTTGTAAGTAAAGTACTCAAGTTCCATAATTCAATTGAATGAAACCGGTTTAAGCATATTTTATTAACTTTGCTTGCTTTATGATCAATTGTAGATTCATACTAAGAAGAGAATAAAATTTGGAGCATAAAAGATTGAATGATTTGGTTTATGTTTCCTATAATCGGAAAATGACTAGTAGGTTCAAAAGCGCCATGAGGAAGCGGGTAAAAGCTATGACCCTTTGGTTATAGAAGATTTTGATTGGAACAATGAATGGGTAGACCCAATGGCCCAACCTGAAGGTGCTCATGGTTTGGACCTCACATGGGATCAAGTTGATGAAGCCATTGGTGCATCACGTGAGCTTCGAGGTCGTAATCTTCCTAGGGACCTCACTTTCGTCGTGCAAGGCATATATCAAGAGTGGTTGAAGAAGATGAGGAAGAGGGAGAGGAAGAAGAGATCATTTTGGATGATGATGATATAGATGATTTTGGTGAACAACCAATGGATGCTACTGAAGATGGTGGAGAGAACGTGGATGCTTCTAACGATCTCGATGAGTTTGCATTGGATGACTTTTGAGAGATGAGAGATTTGGAAGTTTGAGAGATGAGAGAGTTCTATGTCTTTTGTGCTACATTTACATTGCTATTTTGATTTGCTAATATTGTAGACTATACCTTTTAAGCTACATTTGCATTACCATTTGTTAATATAATTTCCTAATATCCTAGACTATAATGTATGTATTCGCCACGCCGATGTGTGTATGGCGTCGCCACGCCGCGCGCCATAGACGCTGTAAAGGTGTGAAGGTGGTGGGTCGCCATGCCGCCGTAAAAACTATGCATTGTAGATTTTTTGCACTAAGCATAGTTATGATTTTTATTAAGTGTTGGTCAAAGCATCCAAAAATTGACTTACTCCAAAGCAAAATATGTCTTGTATTTTTGAATGGAGGTCAGGGAGTACAATTTAACAAAATAATGGCACTTTTGGTGACAACCATAGCTGTGTAGTCAGTGTCTAAATGCACTTATTCTGAAATAGAACAACAACAACAACATAGCCTTTCAGTCCCAAGCAAGTTGGGGTAGACTAGAGTTGAAACCCACCAAGAGCCCCTAGCTTGGCTTAGGACTCCACAATGTACTGGTGCCTCTGGAGGTCTCCTTTGGACATGGCCAAACCACCTCAATCGATGTTGGACAAGCTTTTCTTCAATTGGTGCTACCTCTAGGTGATCACGTAAGATGGAGTATAAAACTAGATTGTATTGAATAAAAGTACTTTCAAAAGGCACACCACCATTATGTGAAGATATCGTCTAATTAAATATGAGGTTTTATTATTCCTTTTTAGTTGTGAATATGAAGCTATCAAACACAGTTTACAAACTGCTAGTAGTTAACCACATTTTTTTTAACTACCATAAAAGAAAGAAAACAGTGTTGCATTGGCATGATCTATTTCTTCGTTTGTGCAAACTAATCATTCTTTACCATGCTCATTTAGAGCAGTGTGCACTTCACTGTTCAGACAGTTGCATCGGCCTTATGTGTAAATAAATGAATACTGTGCAGAAGCGTACCAAATTGAAATGTATGACCAAGTTTCAAGAACATGACATGAACAATGGCTTGTTAAATCAGGTGCTGATGTGGCATAATGCTGCTGCTGCTTTACATAGTAGGAAACTAGAAATACTTGTTTCTCAAGGATGTAATGGAGAATGCCTGACCTTTAAATTTAATCTTCATTTTCCCTTTATTTATTGCTGATCTGAGTTGTTCTTTGTCAGAGCACTACAAGTTGGTTAAGACGGACAAAAAAATTGCAGCCTTTGTTTCACCTCTCAAGTCAAGCCGTGCAAGAACAGTAAACGTATCTTCAACTGGTGTTTCTCGAGCTGCTACCTTATTGGGCTTGGAGGAGAATACCCTTTCAACACAATTTTTTGGACATGTGAGTGATAAGTTAGGTACGAAGATAACTGTTAAGCGGGGAAATCCAGAACACAGGCTTGATGTTGCATCTACAAGTGCAATTTCTAGTGGCACTCATAAGGGTACTTATCCAACAGAAAACCCCACACATATGGATAGACATCAGCAGTTTGGATTTTCTAAAAGTACTACCTCTGATGCTGGTGAGCATTCCATCAGGTTCAGCACTGCAGGTGGCCGATCAATGGCTATCTCTGCTGATGCACTACAACGTGCGAGAAGCCTTTTGGGTGATTCAGACTTAGTGGTTTCTCCAAATGATTCAATAGGTCACTCTTTGACATCAGCTACAGAGAAGCTACCAAAATCAACTATTTCTCCGAAAGGAGATGTATCTAACTTATCGCATGGAACTAGAGCAATAGGATATGCTGTACCTGACGCCCCTTTGACTAAAAAAAGTGCTAATCAGTTTCATATGGGAAGGGAATATCGTCCAATCAATGAAATTCCAAAGGTCCCCAAGCCTCCCTCCAGATGTTTATCTGAAGGCAACAATGTGAGTAATGCTAAAGACAAGACCCAGTGGCACCATATGCCAGCTGGACCATTGGTTGACATCACTAACTACATGGCTACATGTTCTGGAAATACGGACCGCTTAGCAAATGGAAAGAGAATAATCGGGGGAAGAAACTCCATATCTCCATTCAAACGGCCCCGTTCTTCCAGGTCCTTCGATGTACTCTCTGTCTAGCAAGTTTTAAACTCTTCTATGTCATGCTTCTGATACATCCTTGGTAAAACTGGCTAGGTTCATCACGCCAATAAAAAACAACAAACTATCTTCTGCTGGTAAGCTGATGGTGATACATAGTTAGCACATTCTCCAGATTCATTCCTACTTGATAGTCTGGACTATTTTTGACAGGAGAATCCATAGTGCCACCAATGCAGATCAGTCCCTGTAGGACAATGCTATCTGCACGTTATCCTTTCCAACATCAAAGGAAAAATTACAAAGAATATTTTGGTGGTCCTCCTTGCTTCAAATATTTGGTACAGTGTTGCGTCCTTGCATTTCATTTCCGCTGATGTGTTATTTCCTAAGTTTGTTAATTATGGATCTTTTCTTGTCAGCAGACTGAACATGTAACTGATGATGTGAAGCTCATGGATGCAAGAAGAGCTGAGAAGTTTAGGTTTCAGCATACGGCTACTGGTGCAGAAGAGTTTCAGAAAATGCTGCTCACATGTGGTGCTTCATTGTCATGTGCAACTAAAGAGTAAACATCATTCTTGAATGCCATGTTCCACTATTTCATGCTGATGATACAAGATTGACCTTTACCGTTGTTTGGATTGTGGGATCAGAGAAGTGGGATTGGAATTAGGATGTGGGGTGATATAATGTTAACCTTTAATAAAAAAGAGTGAAGGCTTCTGCTCAATAACCCACTAGAAAGAAAATTCATAACTTAAAATAAGCAAGTACGATTTTAGGTAAGTTGATGTGGTGCTCTGCTTTCGCTCAATAAGTGACAGGTGATTAAAAAAATGTTTGATTGTTACCTTTCCAGTTTCATGTGTGTACTTAAGACTTTATTTGACTTGATGGTGATAAAATTTCTTCAGACATCCTGCTATCAAGTCACTTTAGTTTTCCTGTTTTAGATGGGTCAGTAACCACTATAAATGGATTGTGTGGAAGCTTGCTTCACTTGAGAGATGCTACCCAACTAGAGCTGCTGGTAAATTCTTGACGGTTGACAATGTTCTTGAGGAGCTTAAGTACCGGTGAGATGAAAGTCATGTCTTCTGTTTTTCCATTTAAGTTGTATGGATGCATATGATTTTATTCATGAAATTTCATGGATTTTAGGTATGACAGAGAAGTGAATCATGGTCATCGGTCAGCAATAAAGAAAATTTTAGAAGGGAATGCTTCACCATCTTTGATGATGGTCTTGTGCATTTCAGCTATTTACTCTTGTCCTGACCAAAATAACAATAAGTTGGAGGTTAATAAGGTAGATACTAATGAAGATAACAATGACAACCAAAGCTTGTCAGCCACTAATAGAAACATGTCTGCAAATATTGAATTAACTGATGGATGGTATGTGGTTGTGTTCACCTTATTGCATTGCATTGCATTGAAACTGAATGACGCCAACAATTTCCATTGTCTGCTTCTTCACAGGTATTCACTTGATGCATCATTGGATATCACACTTTTGGAACAACTAGAGAAAAAAAAGCTTTTTGTAGGGCAGAAGCTTCGGGTAATATGATATTTTCATTTTTCAAGGGACATGGCTGTAGTTATTACAAACTTGTAACATGTTTAACCTAATATGTGTTCCATCTTGGCAGATATGGGGAGCTTCTTTATGTGGTTGGTCTGGGCCTGTGTCATTTCACGAGGTTTGCCTGATGCCCGTTCCATTAATTCTCTCTAAATAAGGAGTACCATGTAATTAAATCTCTGTTGATGACATCATATTTTCAGGTGCCTGGTATTGTCAAATTAGCTGTTCACATAAATGGCACCTATCGTGCTAGATGGAATGACACCTTAGGATTCTGTATGTGCCTGTTGTACTTAATTTTTCTTAAAGAACAATATCATCTTGTCTTGCCTGTTCTAATAGCAAAACATGTGTTCAGCTGGGGTTACCCATGAACATTTATGAGCAATTGTGACTAAATCTGCACTTCACATTCTGCTTATTTCTTATCAAAACGTTGTTCCCTTTGATCTCAGGCAAGCATGTTGGACTCCCACTGGCATTCAGGTGCATAAAAACTTCTGGTGGTAGAGTTCCTAGGACACTGGCTGGAATCACAAGGATATATCCTGTTCTCTACCGGGAAAGGTATATGACTGGATTTAAACTAAATTCATCACATCTGTCAGAAAGAAAAAAGATCTAGGATCAGATACACACATACTTGTGGAATCTCTAGGGCCTGTTTGGATCCTTTTATTTTAGAGGAACTGAGTCTACTTTATGGACTAGGCTATTTAGCTTGGAATTTGATATTCCACAACTTTCCAAAGTTTAGATATAAGCCTGCCTTAAATCATGGGGTGAGAGATAGAAATTGATTACATAGATCCCCATGCTATGTTTCTTCTCTGCAACTTATAGCATGCTTTTCGGCTCACTCCCTTGTAGTAGAAGTGCAGCACATAAGTACCTCCCCCATGTGGCCAACAGTAGTATACAAGTATATTCCGTATGTGACCATATTAATTTAATTTATCTGTGCCTAAATTGTGTATTAGAATGGATTTCAATACCAATGATTCAAACAGGGCTAATGGTTAATTGTGTATGTCAGGTTGCCTGATGGTCGTTCTGTTGTGAGATCTGAAAGGATGGAAAGAAAGGCGCTGGAACTATACCACCAGAGGTACTTAGTTATGTGACTAGTGAACAATAGAAATGAATGCACTGAACAGTCACAACTCCTCTAGCAGAAGTAGATAAACTATTAAACTATTGAAGCACCATTGCAATCTCTGATACATGCGCAGAATGTGAATTAATAAATCTGACATGACTATTTTTGCTTGGCATGTTTTGCTGATTGGGGCTTATGATGTTTATATTATCTATATGTACTAATTATTGGCCCTCGATCTCCCTGCACAGGTGAGCAGCAAGCTCACCTACACTCGCGCAAACTCACACGGCTGTAGGATGAAGAAAGGGTGAGCACAGAACACACACACACAATTAAAGTGCTGCTGCACTTTCCTGAATGCTGCTGCAGCTGCACGCTGGTGCTACTGCTGTGCTCTTGAGAACAGAATACTCACTCACAGGACACTCTGCAGGTGTAGCAAAACTGAACTAAATATCACATTATCATGGCTGCAATTATATACACAGAGGTAGCTAGTGGAGGTTGACTGCTGTAGCAGTCAAGTCTAGTCTAGTCTACAGTCCTACCTGGCTGCTAGGAACTTGCTAGGAAGTTGCTCTGCAGTTGCAAGGAAGTTGCACTGCATTAGCAAGGAAGTTACACTGCCTGTGCTTGCAGCCAGCAGTGGACAGCAAGGTTTTGACCTATTGTCAACCTTCTGTCCAAATCAAGGGCAGCAGCAGATTATCTTAACAATCTTCCCCTAATCCTGCTGCTAACCCAAAGCCTTGATCTCACTCATGCCAATCTTCTTATTCAGCTCCGAGTGTTGAAGGCGCCCGAGTGACTTGGTGAGGATGTCAGCAAGCTGTCGGCCGGTTTCGACGAACTTGATGACAATTTGTCCTCCATCGACACAATCCTGAAGGAAATGATACTTCACGTCGATGTGCTTGCTCCTGTCGTGGAGGACAGGGTTCTTGGCGAGGGCGATGGCGGGCTGATTGTCCACCATCAGGGCTGGCGGACGAGCTTCCTCGCCAATCAGCTCGCCCAGCAGCTAGCACAGCCAGACCGCCTGGCCCGTCGCTGTGGCCGCTGCCACGTACTCAGCCTCGCACGTATACAACGCCACCACCTTCTGCTTCAACGATTGCCATGAATTTGGGGCTGATCCAAGGAAGACGAGCACGCCGGAGGTGCTCCGTCGCCCATCAATGTTGCCCGCCATGTCTGCATCACTGAAAACCGTGAGCTGCAGCCCACCTTCGTCGTCGAGCCTGTGGAGTGCTTCGCTGAAGACTGTGAGCTGTAGCCCACCTCCGTTGCCGGTCTTGGGGAAGACGATCCTTTGATCCACCGTCCCCTTGATGCAGCGCAGCAGCCGCTTCACTGCAATCCAATGATCCTCGCGGGGATCCTCCATGAACCGACTAACATACCTGACCGTGAACGTGATGTCTGGCCGAGTATGCGTCCAATAGCGCAGCCCGGCGACGATGCTCCCTAGCGCGTCGGTGCGCTGGCCCAAGGAATTGGAGTCGCTCCCCTGCTTCACCTATGCCGAGGTAGTAGGAGAGCTGGCCGAGATCGCTCATGCGGAACCGAGCCGCCATCTCGCGCTTGAAGCCGTCGATGTTGTCCACGCGACGCTCCGGTGACGATCAAGTCGTCCACATACACGCCGACGACGAGCTCCATGCTGCGTGCGCCTGGGTTCGCACGCCGCGCAACATAACACGCGCTCTACATGTGGCGACGGGGAAAGGAGGAGCTCATCGTTGGCGTGTATGTGGATGACTTGATCATCAACGAGATTGCTCATGCGGACGACATTGTAGACCCATTTGAGCCCGATCGGACGACAGCCTGGAGGTGGATCAACGAGCTCCCAAGTCCCGTTCTCTTCGATTGTCTTCGTCTCCTCCAGCATCACCCGCCTCCAGTTTGCATCCTGCTCGGCATGTGCAAACGTGGGCGGCTCCACACTCACCAGGAGCAGCTCCTGATCGCCGAGCAGTTTGCTCGCTAGGCTTGGTGTAGCCGACTCCCCGACGAGGTTGTCCACCCTGCGAAAACGCACCTCCTCGCCGTCGTGGAAGGCGTCCACGTACTCATCGATGTCGCTTGGAGGGGAGGCGAACTCGACCGGCGTCGCTGGAGGTGTCCCCTGTTCTGCCGCAGCAGGGGACTGTGGTGGAGGCGTGTGCGCGACAGTTGGTGCAGTCTGCTTGCCTGTGCCCGCCATGGCCGGACTTGGCGGCTCAACCGGCGCCGCCACAACTGCTGGACTTGGGGCGTCCGCAGCTGGCTCCTATGCTCCCGCATCTCTACCTCCGCGGATCACCATGTGCTCAATGATGAACGTCCCGCCGATGCCATGGCTTCCCCATTGCTTGGATTCTCCCAATCCTAGGATGTCATTTCGTCGAACACCACGCCCCACAAGACGACCACCTTGCCTCCTCTCGGATCATATAGCCGGTAGGCCTTGCTGCCCTCCTCGTATCCCAGGACTCCTATCCTCGAGCTTGGTGAGGTTTAGCTTCGTCTTCTTGACGTGGCCAATGCACCCGAACGTCCTGAGGAAGAAGTCAGGCTCCCTCTTGAACCAAGCCTCAAACGGTGTCATGCCCTTCAGGGCCTTCGTGGGTGTGCGGTTGAGAATGAACACCGCCGTGCTCACCGTTTGTCCCCAGAACTTTGCTGGCATGCCCTTTGCCTTCAGCATTGATCGAGCCATGCCCACCATCGTCTGGTTCCGCCACTCCACCACGCCGTTCTGCTGCGGCGGGTACGGCGTGATGTGGTGGGGCACCACCCCTTGGTCCGCGCAGCACGCAGCGAACTCCACTGAGGTGAACTCATCGCCACGATCTGTCCTCAGCACGCGTAGCTTCTTGTCGGACTCTGCCTCAGCCCGTGCCTGGAACTTCTTGATTGCCACCGCCGCCTCGTCCTTGTTCGTTAGGAGCTGCAGCCACATGTAGCGGCTGCAGTCCTCCACGAGCAACAAGTAGCGCCGCCCGCCATGCGTGGCTGACGTGATAGGCCCGCGGAGGTCGCCATGGACGAGCTCTAGCACGTTCCCCGCGCGATACTTGGTCACCTTTGGAAATGTCTGCTTTCTCTGCTTCCCCACCAGGCAGTTGTCACACAGCTCGACGTCGTGCTTGATGTGGGGCCGCCCACGCACCATCTTCTCCAGCCGACCAAGCGCGTCGAAGCTAAGATGGCCGAACCGGGCATGCCACAGCCACGACTCCTCGGTGTGCCGTGCCGCCGGTTCCGGGAGAGCTGCACCTTGGCGAGTAGCCTTTGCTCCCGGTCCCGAATCCTTAGGATCCCGCTCTTGACCAGCACCATGCACCCGTGCTCGTCCAGCTATTCGATGCTGACGATGCTCGAACGCAGCAGTGCGCGGTGCTCCCCATTTTGGCACTAGAAGTTGATGGTGCCATGGCCTCGAATCTCCACCTTCGAGCCGTCACCTAACTTCACTGACCTCGTCATGCTGTTGTCGAGCTTGAAGAAGGCATCCCTGGAGCCGGTCATGTGGTTGCGGGCGTCGGAGTTCAGGTACTGTAACAGAACCGTCTAATTTAAAAGAGCACAAGTACAATAGCAATCACCGATGCGATCAAACTATCATACTTGAGCCCATATAAACTCGGTAGTCCGATGAAATCACGAAGGATCTCAAACCAACCTAACATACAAGCCAAGATCGTACATGATTCAACATAACAAGTCACATGTTACATCACAGTTCACAAATGGTTCACAAGTATTTCACATACATCGGAGTTCACATAGTTATTACAAATCAAGTTCAAATAGCGAAAGCAAAGTAGTTTGACATCAATATCATACTTAGTTCAAATACATGCCAGTACCACATTCATTTCTAGCAAAAGCATAACAGAGAGGATAATTTAGGAGTACCATGCCCCCATGGTTTAGTCCTCATCCACGGCAGGATGAAGGCAGTTCTTACAGTACCCATGATATATCATATTTTCTGCAACAAGAGGGAATAAACCCTGAGTACGAGAATGTATTCAGCTAGACTTACTAGTCGTAAACCAGAAATAATATGATACCATGGAGTATGCACGGCTTTATCGGTGGAGTTAGCTTGACAACATTTTACATAAAATCTTAAGTAACATAACTTGGAGATTTAATATCTTTAGCGTCAAATTAAATACATATTCAATTAAGCATCTCTATATTAGCACCTGTACTAGAGCAATCACTTGATTAAGCTAACAAGCATTAGTAACCATATCCGGTGTATTAATTTGAGCATCATCATAACCATCAAGTTCCATCAATTAATGCTATGTTGTGCTGCTCAGTCAAGTTCTCACTATCCGGAAGAGACGACGACTCGAATCGATTCCATCCAGCTGGGGAGTTATTCCTAATACAAACCCATACTTCCCCCGTCGGGGGTCGCGTCGGGTCACCTTAGGCACAACTCAGGTACAGTCGCGGGTCCGATCAGCGCCACACCCTCAGGGATACTAGTAGTCTGCCAGGAAGTTCAGGCCCGGCCTGCCCTTTGACTCACGCCACTGGCTCACCGCACACCCTTACTTCCTCCAGTGTGCTTATTTTCACTTACCGGGTCCCGACCTGAGTTGAGCTACTTGGCTTCGTGGTCGGAACGGCTTATTCGGCCAACTAAGTGCTAGGCATGCGTTTAACATGACATGAGGACGTACAACGAATTGGTCCTTAACCGACCCAAATGGGGATAAATAGGCACCAAGACCTCCATGTCTTGTTGCTTCTCTATCACAATCCCGTCCGGTCTCTTTTTATTCATCAACACATGGTTATTTTCACGATAGCAATTATAGCCAACCGTGACCAGATATTTACCTATATCTTGTAGGTGACAGGAAATCACCCGACTTATACCGGACTTAGTATGGCTAAGCATATATTCGATCTTGAACCTACATAGGATTCGTCTGGATAAGGAAAGTATATGCAACAAGTGGTTCCAATCAACCCATAGTACTTAATGCATCAAC